TATGGAAATGTTCCCTTATCAGTGGTTGTCTTTGGATGAAAGTTGTGCTTCAACAGTTGATAACTGATTTTCAATTTGACTGATTTGAAAATTTCCTATCACTAAGAGTTATGACACAGCCGGATATGTTTGTAGACCATTAGTAGGGTAATTCATTAATTTTCCATGTGCATTTCCTAACCCATTTACATGGCCAATGAGTGATTAAGTGTTTTTATTTTTGTTTATCATTTCTGCTTTCGCCCCAAAATAATTTTGAAAATTTTTTGCTGTGGCTGGTCCGTTTTGGGCCATAAAAACGATGTAAAATTTAATATGGCATATAGGGCGAGACAATGTTGCCTGTTGTCTGGTTATTGTTATTATTAATTTTGTTTACACGTGGGAAACGGAAATTGGCGAGGGAAAACCGTTTCACTTTCGGCTCACCAGTCTCCACTTGCCCCACCGAAGTAGTTAAAAATTACAAATAACAAAGGGAAAACAGTCGAGGACCCTTAAGAAATGCTGCAAGCGTTGTGTTTTACACAATTAATTCCACGTAATTAAGCCTTATGACTTTAATGTCTGATCTTCCCTTTTCGCCCTCTCTCTTTCTGTCGCTCCTATTGTTTTTCGTTTGATTTAAACCTCTATCGACGGTTCCATTTCCAATTGTTGCCATATATGTAAGTGCCGCTTCCAATTGGATTACGACCACAATTTGTCTGCGGGCCAAACACCAATTAGAATCGGACGAGATATGGAATTGTGCGGGTCGCCAATAAGTTACTTAACTCCCTATCGATATCTGAATGCCCTTTAATTTGTGAAACACAAATATCAAGAAATCGCTGTGCAATTATGGCAGTTAACAATATAATTCGTTTTTAGACCCCTCTGAATTTGAAACATCTGAACGAATACTTATTTGTAGAGAAGTCTAATAGGAGTCTAATAAATTGTGCTCCTAGTAAACTTTAATTGTTTGAATTAAATATATACTTCTTAATATGATAGTGTTTTGTCTTTTTGGTGATATACACCTAGTCGCGACTTTCGCCATGATCATTTGCAGGGAAATTGAAACAAAAAATCGCTTATATGTAATAGCTAAATGCCATTTCTCATTAGGTGCCCCCCACGACGATTTCACGATGATTGCCACTGAGCAAACATCAATTGATGGACAAAGGCAATCGATGACTTCGACACGAAATTACGATGGAAAAAATGGGGGGAAAATAAAGGGTTGGGGAAGTCGAGTGGGACTCCATATCGGCCATTAAACCCACACTTTTCCAATATTGTCACTGGCCACTGACATGTCATTCAACCCACCCTATTTCACCTATTTTCACCCGGCGACTTTTCCTTTCTTCTCGCAATTATCAGCCGCAACCTATGGGATTTTCGCATGAAAAGTCTTTTCTTTTTAGTTTTCTCTTCTTTCGTTCTGTTACATTTGAATTAAAAAAAATACGTTAAACATTGGCTAAGACATTGTCATTATATTGGCTAAATGTTTTAGTGTCCCTAATTACTTATATTTTAAAAATTGGTTTTGTGCTCTTAATAGCAGTTCCAAATTTAATATTATAGTTTCATTCCATATTATAGTTGCATTGACAGCTATTTTTTATTTTTAAATGTAGTTTCATGTTTTCTTTACTTGTACTACATATTTCCCCTCGCACCGCAATATTTGTTTGCATTTTTTCTAGTTTTTGGATCTTGCTTCGTTCGCGTTGTACCCATTTTACTTTTGGTTATGGACTTTAATTTAAGCGAAGTCGCGCTTAGTTGTATTTGCATTTGTTGTTATGTTTTTTGTTTTTGTTTTTCGTATTGTGTTTATTTTTTCAAGGCAGAAAAACGATGACTTCATCTTCTCTGCCCACATTTTTGTTGTTGCCCCACAGTGTGTGTGCGTGCGTTGGTGTGGCTATACCCTTTATAGAGAGTATTTATAGTTTCTGAATGTGGACGCGCTCGGGAGAAAGTATTTTGAACCCTAAAACCAATAAACCAAACCAAAATCCGTGGCTGCAGTCACCATATATATACCCTTTTTCCAAAGTTTTTTGTGTTGACACGAAATAAAAGTCGATATTTTTGCTGGTTCTTATCCATGTGCAATTAAGCGTATGATTTTAAATTTCCTGAATAATTGTATATCCGTAACTCGAAGACTAAGATATCTGCATAATTATATGCATTCTGGATCAGGCCTAGTCAATCCAGCTTGTCCGTTTGTCCGGTCGTCCGCCTGTCCGGATAAACGTGAACTCTGAGGTTGCAGATTCAATTGACGCTTATGCACGACCAATATTTTAAAAATGTTTTCATTTTCTTATTTTCCTTGCCAAGATCTACCTATATTTCAAAAACATTTTTAAATTTCTAAGGCTGTATTTATGTCTAGATCTAGCTAATCACCAAAATCTGTTCAAATAACTCAATTATTTTTTTTTTTAATTAAGATTTTAAGGCGTGCAAATATCAATGACGTCAGAAAATATGAGCAATACATACATATAACCACCGCTTTAAAAACGGAAAACTTTGGGGCCCTAATATAATTATGTTTGCTATAAGAACATTTTCAGTTTTTGAACTGTTTATTTTGTACGTTGTAGGTATACGAGATCTAGGATAGGTTTCATTTTTTAAAGGTTACTTTGACCGAGGCCAAGTACCACCACTTTGTTCCCTATTTTTGGTGGTAAATGTTCATTTCGTTTTCAGGGTATTTGCATTTCGGTAACACTCAGCTGATTTTCATTGCTTTGTTGTGTTGCACACCCCCGAAGAGTAGATGATAATGACGAGGAAGTGTTGGCCTTGTTTGTTTTTGTGACTGATGTGTGTCACTTGCCACTATCATCATTATCATTATTAAGCGCACGCCAAAGACATTGTGGCAGTGCAGCCAATATGCAAAGTGTTGAGTAATCGTCAACACAGTCCACTCACTAGCGCATTATGATCATCATCATGGACATCGGACTGTCTCTCATCGGTTGCTTGGCCACTGTCAATAATCACACTGAGCGAAAATCCTTTAAGTTAGAACATTTTTGGTAAATTAGCATTTCAATAACGAGAACAGGTATCACAATATCGGGTCAAGACATTCCTAATGCATGGTCACATCATTCCCGGTAGGTTTAATGGTCACACTATGAATTTAGCAATTTGGAAAAACGTGAAAATGTAATCTTTAATGCTTTCGCCCAGTGCATGGGCGACCACGAACTTTGCGACATCAAATTGATTATTTTGGTGCCCTTCTTTGTCGCTCTTTTATCCACCATTTCTCCCTTTTCTTTTCACGCTATCTTTCCTGCTCGTTGGCTTTGTTTTATTATTCATGTCCAGGCCGGAAATGTTTCGTTTTCCAGTCGCACTCACCAGACCAACCCCAATACCATAAACTATACGGGGACCACAGGCCGTATAGACCACAGGCCGTATAGACCATGCCCTCGCCCACTTTTGGCCACTTTCCCAGTGTTTTTATATTTTGTGTTTGGTTGCCGTTCTCTTTTGGGGTCAGCAAACAAAACTCGCACCCGTTGTTTGCTTTGTTCTATATGTGTATATACTCTCTGGAGTGTTTTTGGCCAAGTTTTGTTGGCCTGGTCGAGTCGGAAACAGGTTGTGCGGATCTCTGTCGGCCGAAAAAAAAAAACAAAAAACATAGCGGATAGTCTTTGGTTCCGTGAATTTCGGTGGATTTTGGTATGATTTATACCCGATTACCGTGATTTTTTGTAGATTTTCGTATGATATACAGTATTTTGAATTTCCGAGAATTTTTGTGGCATTTTGGGTGCGTCTTAATCTGAAGATACGAGAAGAAGTCGCTTAAGTAATAGAAACTGTATATCTGGGGAGCTATATGTCCATATATGTATTACGATTAGTCAGCCGAGTTTCATAATCATATTAAATGTTTATGAACAATTACTTTTACGCCGATAGCTACTTCACCGCATTGCTTGCATTGTTCCTAATCAGTTATATTAAATTACACTAACCGACAGTATTTTTATAAATATTAATCGCAGCAGCGAATGACAAGTTACTGATTTGCCATTGAGAGAATGGATAACAAATTGTCGCAATTTCGTTTGAATTGCATTACATTCCAATTTGTAGGAGTGTTAGGTGAACAAGTTTTACGTTCAAATTCATCTGCGATCGCCAAAAATGTGCAAATTCTTAATCAGTAGTTAGATTTTAGGTATCCTTGCCCCAGTCTACTCAATTAATTCAAGAACTGGCTAATTTTCGAGAACTCGGGCATTCACTCGCACCTGAAAAAGTTCTCAGCTGGGCGATAGTGTGTTGCAATATTCATGAACAATTAATTAAAGGATTATGAATAAATAATAATAATTAATGAATTGGCGAAGTTAATTACCCTCGCAATTATTTTGGACCCATTAAATATTTTTTTTTTGGTGGATACGGTACTTATTAAAACGTTTTTTGAATTTCTTTCAGCAGCTGCCTAAGCGATGCAAAATGTGACAGGCGGCAGCAGCAGCAGCAACTGCCACATCAAAGGTTACGCAGCAGCAATATTAAAAAAAAGCTTCATATTAAAAAAAGGAGGAAACAAGAGTTTAAGGCCATGAAGTAATCGCCTTAAGCAGTAAAATGAAATGTAATTCGATTTTAAATTAGCTAGGACAAAACCCGCAAGTAACTGTATATCCGAGAGACGAACCGCAAAGCACAAACATTTTCAAAAGGGCGCAGCAACAACAAAAACACCACAAAAGCTAAGGAAAACCAAGCGTAAATCACAATAAATATAGGTGAAGGATACAAAGGCGAAATATAGAAAGGTGTAGCGCAAACACCGGATGACAGATTGTTGGCATTGGCTGAGCGGAGACAACAACCAAGTGGTAAAGTTAGCGGATACGTCAACCAAGTGGGCAACCTGAAATTGAAGAGGTGTTGCAAGGAATAGCTCAACGATCAGGCTGAGGAGAGTGACAGACTGAAACGAAGGCAGCTTGAGGAGGAGGATCGCCTGGATCACCGGAATACCCAGCACGGCGGGCAGTGCAGCGGGCGTTGGAATGGGCGCCCTGATTAACAGTGCCGGCAGCAGCGCCAGTAGTGTCATGGGCATCGGCATGGGCAGAGCAGCTGCTACGGGAGCAGCAGCAGGTGCAGGAGCACCAGGAAGTTCTGGGTCTGGTGCAGAGGCATCCGCCGGCACTTTGATAGCTCAGAGCACGGCGGGAACGAGCGCCGCCAGCAGCGGAACGATCACCTGGGACAACAATGGAACCCTGCGATCAATCAATCCCGGCGACTGGTCCACCGAACAGTGTCTGGGGCCACATCACCTGTACTTTCAGCTCGGCTGGGCCTTCCTCTTCCTAGCCTTTTTGGCTCCCCACGGTCCCTACGGTTCCCTGTGGATGAGGGCCATGCTGCTCATTGGCTGCCTGATGATGGGCATGCATGGCTACTTGGCGGCCTGTGCACCGGACGTCATCCTGTGGTCGGGCATGGGACTTTTTGTCAACTTCATCTATCTCGTCGTGGTGCTGTGCCGACTGAGGCCTGTGAGATTCGAGCAGGAAATCGAGGCGGTAAGTGATATATACATAAATCCTCAACACTATCATAAACATAAAAGTACGGGTTTTAATGTACGGAAGTATCTTAATGAATGAATTTTCGTTCTAAATTGCAATTGCAAATGAAGATATAGGGGCATGCTGTAAACGTCTTTAAAGAATTAAATAGTTTTAATCCAAGTTTACAATCAAGTTTACAATGCATTTCTCTAAAGCCGAGAAGTAGGCAACCCACTCGATTAAATACATTTTTTATGGAATTAATGCACCGCAAGAAAAGAATCTTTTAAATTGTACACATTGATTGGATATTTTTATTGATTTATTTTTTTTTAGTTTTGTTTCTTTTTGTGCTTTTTTGGTTTGGTTTTTGTTTCTTTTGTTGTTGTTTTTCTTTTGTTTTAATATAAATTACATTCACTTAACATCCGCACTTAAAACAGAGAAAAACATAGTTTTCGGTGGATTAATAAATAACAGAAGAAAATTAATGCATGAGAAAAAAAAAACAATATATTTAATTATCAATAGGCTATTAATATTTAATAACTCCTTGTAAATTATTGGCTATCAACTATAGGCTAAATGTGCTGTGGTTTGTGGGTGGGTTTTTTGATTTGGGAGGCGGGTTGAGTTTATCACAGGAAATCAGATTGAAAGGTCGCAGCAAACAAGGCGTCCTTTGGGAGAAATTAAATATTTTCGTGCGTGGGTGTATGGGTGTGTGGGTGTGTGGGAGGGAGGAAGGACATTTGGGGCTGGATGGAGGACCAGCTCGAAAACTCAAGTGTTCAATAAGCAATATAGGATTTGAGACATTTATCGAACATGTAGTACAGTAGTAGAGTAGTAATGATGTGTGTATGTATTATGTGGTGGGATCCTAAATCTATAAATTCTTCACTCCGGGCTTGCCTTAGCTAAGGCGTATTTTCGATGCCAGAAAATACAGCTGCAGGCAGGTGGTCAGCATGACCGTCATGTTGCCAATGGCGATGGTCATGTGGATGCGCCGGAAACCCTTGTGGATGCGCTGATAGTGCGGACAGTCGACGAGGTCGCCCTGAACGAGGCTGCCCACCTCCTGGCCACTGCCGATCGCATCCTCGATCCTGTACTTCTCGTGCATCAGCTGCAGCATCGGTGGCACCAGGTACAGACGCACCACCACCTCGATTCCCGCCGCCAGGGCCAGCGATCCTATCTGGATGCCCGCCGATGTAGTCCATCCACTGAGGAAATACTTGGCATACACCACCAGCATCGTCAGACTGAGCATGGCGTTCAGGGCGAAGTATCGCGGGAACAGGATCTGCTGGCACTGCCCGAATACGTGGCGGGGCAGAGAGAAATACAGCGAGAGTCCTGCAAGGATATGCAATAAATTAGATTTGCTCATAATCGGCTTAAAGTTCCAGCGACTGTACAAAATGTAATTACGATTTTTGGCGGACTGGCACAAATGAAGCGAGTGAGGATTGGCTTAAAGAAATGTATTATTGAAGTTGATCATGGCAATGGAATAGTGACCAGTGTTCAGTAATCGATCAATTTATGCTGAACCTTTGATGATCTAAAAGTAATGCTTAAAACCATCTTCATGGTACTGTTCGCTGAGATGAGTCTATGAATTTCCTGAATGGAATGCATTATAAGCTTCATTTAAGAAACAATGAATGTTGGGAATGCTCATGGGTGAGCGCTGCAGATCAGGATAGTCCTGCGATCTAAGGACACTTACCTGAGACAAATGTCATCCAGATCTGCGACCCAAAGTGGGTGGCAAAGGCGCCCAGAAAGACCAAGGCCGCCAGAACTCCGCCCGTTGCTGTTCTCGTCGATGCTGCTGTGGCAGACGCTGCTGCGTTTTCTGCTGCTGCTTCTGTTCCTACTGTAGTCGTTGGGTCGATGAGATCGCGTCCCACAGTCATCAGCACAAAGGCCAATATGCAAACGGCTATCAAGTGTGCTGGTTGTGTCGTACGCGTCAGAATTCTGCAATAATAGAGCGATGTCTTCGATCAATAAATAGCAGGCGAACGTCAAATAGTAAGAATTTAAAATTGAAATTTAGCATTAATTTAAGGAAGGAACTAACTTGCTAGCATGTGCTCAAAATGTATCGAATTTATCGTACATTATCGATTTCCATCGATTATGTCCTAACACTAGGGTTCTATCTGTGTTTCTGTCGCAAGGTCATGCAATCTCTGCTTTTCTAATTGAAGTGCTATTGTGACGCGTTCTGTTCAACTCTTGTTGCGAGCTTTTAAATGCAATAGCTTCGCAATAGGCGATGGTCCAAACTCCGTGAGAAAATGGGTTATGGGGTACCCACGTGGCCTTATGTCTGATTAGATTTGATTTGCGGCGAACTTTTGCACCGATTGCGATCGTGCGAATTCGCCGTCTCCCTTTCCCTCACTTCATGGCTATCTCGTTCTCTTCGTGTCTACGCATTTGTTGCGTCTTCGTCTCCCCGCTCCTCTCTAGTCTGGCATTTTGCATATCCGTCTGTTACGTTTTTATGTCTTTTTTGCAAACTTTTTTCGCCGTTCGTTTTTGGTTTGTCGCGCGGCGAATAGAGCTAAAGTGGCGTACGTGCGCAAACGCATGCAACCGAATATTGTATATTTTCGCCTCCTCCTCCCCCTCCCCCCCACACTATTTTCCTCTGTGTTGCACTCGTGGAGACCAGAACTAAAAGCCAGAAATTGGCAATCTCTAGATGGTATTCATAACAGAAGAGCGTGGATAATGCAGTTTTGCATTTGCACTTGGGGCGAATTCAGTTGAATCAGCTGGCGACCAGCTGATAAAACGATAAAACGCGGCGAACGCAGCTGATTTATGGACAGGCGAGGAGAAAAGACAGCAAGGCAATACAGTTGTAGTCAACACGATAGGTCCCCAAAATGGCACAATATAAATAATGGTTTTAATTGCCCCAATTAATGTGACAAAAATTGCCACTAATAACTGAAACGACTGATAACGGTCTTGCTTTGACTGCATTTATGAGTCCCTAATGTGTTCTACGGTTGTGACCCGGACTGTACGCCTGCGAAAGCTCTGCCAGATGACGTAGGTCCCGATCGAACTTTGCACTCCAGCAGGTGGTTGCGGACCGGGCGAGAGAGCGAGCCTACGAGAGCGGGTAGTCTTAGGGGGGTAGTCTCAGGGGGTCTTAGGGAACTCTATTGACTTGCCAATTGTCGTCATACGCCCCACTGACCGCAAGACAACGACCGTATCGAGACACACCCCCTCGCCCCCGAGGGTTAACTTATCGCTTAACATTAGCATTACGGTCAAGGCGAATATCACCAGATCGTATTTTTAGATTCACACACTGGTCGTTAGTAATGCGGCTTAGAGGCCCAAATCCCCGTGAATCACCCACAGAAATTGGAGCTTACGTTAACTAAGGTTAGGGGTTTTGGGGATTCTCTGCAGTTTGTCCGTGGAATTTCAATTGCTCCTTTTCGTGGGGTTCCACTGTGACGATATCGATATCGCGTAGGTCACGAGTTTCGCGTCTGCTGCCAGACATTATCAATGGGACGCTAACAATCTTTTTTGATAGGCTTCGTTTCGCTTTGTATTTCGCTAACTGGCCAGCCACTCGAGAATTTGATAGCTTTCACATTTGTGTTCTGTTTAGTTAAATATTGTCGTTCATCCTTACGTTAAGAACCCACTTTTAGTTTTACAATAGACCAACCACAGACGTTTCTTGGGTCTGCTGTTTGCATAACTGTTGTGCGCCCTAGACAACAGCAGACGGTGGAAAAATTCTGCGACTATATTTGCATTTATAAATATCAATATAGGGGCGTGATCAGCATGATCCACAGCCGTGACAATGAACTGATAAGAACTGATAGTGCCAGCATGGAGGGTTTCCTTCAGTCAGCTGATGAATTTATTGGTATTTAGTAACAGGGGGCGTGCAGAATGTCGACCGATGACCGCTACAAAATAATTCATATACACGTATTCTATATACAGACTCATTAAACATCGGGGAATTCAATGTTCTCGTAAATATTTACTTCTTAAAAAACTTAATAATAATTCCCGTTAGTACACAGGCTATTTTTAGAAATATCTGTAGTTTGTGATTAAAAATACAAAATATTTGGCGTCGACGGAGACAAACTAATTGGTAATTGGTTTCACAACTGAGTTGTTAACAGAACTAATGGAATATTAGAAACTGCACAAAGAGTCATAGCCTGAACAGTCGAAAAACAAGCATCTAAATTATTTTAAATAGCAGCGCTAACCAAATGTATTAAATATTTTGAAGTGATTGAAGTGCGGTAGTAAGCGAATATATTATAAAGTTTCAACGGAACTCTATCTCTTAAATTTGCAGCAAGTAAATATTGAAATGAGACAACTTAGGAGTTCAGTTGAAAAATAATTTACATATGTATGTGCTTTACAGGAATAATGAGACTCACGTGTAAAGGCGACTGGCCTGCAGCTGGGCCACCAGGCAGGTGATTCGCTCGGACACCTGCCTCGTCATCTGGGTGCCGATGGCCAGGGCGTCGTCCATTGACGGCTCCATGGAGCTAAGCTTGCGCTGCTGTTGAGCCTTCAGGGCGGCGGCCGTGCTGGTGGTCAGGGGCTCCTCCTCCTGCAACTCTATCTCCTTGAGCATCTGCTGCTCCAGCTGCTCCTGCTGCAGCTTGCGGAAATGCGGGCAGAATCGCAGTAGGTCGCTTTTGGGTGTGGGTGTCGGTGTGATAACCTTTGGACTGGCTGTCGTCTCCGTCGCTGGCGACGATTTCAGCACGGTTTCGGTAACGCCGCTATCCTCGCTATCGCTGCCGGAGACCGAGGTGGAGGAGGAGTCGCTGGCGCTGCTGCTGCTCAGCTCGAGTTCCTCGAGCAACTGGTGTTCCCTGTGCAGATCCTTCTGCAGATCCCTCTGCAGATCCCTCCTCTGCTGCTCCTTCTTCTCGCGCTTCTTCAGCGTGTACTTGACGCTCTTCACCGCC